CAGGAATGAGGTACAATTTAGAAGACAATTACATGAGCTGTTTTTTTTTTCAATCAAAATACCTACTGGAATGTTGGTTAATTCAGAAATAAGTCCAACCCTAAAGCAAATATCAATTTTGTTTTATCTCATAATAATCCGATTTAAAAAACTACAATGCTACAGATGGTGATGAACTACAACAAACAAGGTTTGCATCGACTTCAGTTGGATTGTTGTTGATAACTTAATGTCATACCACAAGTTTAGATTGTTATTTACAGCTTTTCTAAGGCCTTACACAGCACTTGCGTATTAATATGAAGCAGCAAGGCCATGTTTTTACTTTTATACAAATATTTTACTGATAGTTTGTTTAGAGTTGAATGAAAATATACTAATGAAACAAAAGTAAACGTGGTATTTTGGCCAATAAATCAGATGTCATTCATTTTGGGGGCTTTTTATTCAACTGTCGCAAAATCTGACCAAAATACAGAAACTTTTTTGACTCAATATATTCCAAAAACATTTTTGCTTGGAAAACTAATATACAGCATTTGGTATGTTCCATTTTTGTATTCTGTTTATCAAGTGCTTTTGTAATTGTAAAGAAAAAAAATCCATAACAAAGTCTATGATTAATTTTAAAATACACTGTAGAGACACAACAAAAAGAATGTATTTAAGAAAAAAAGCAAAACAACAAAAAAGTTACGTCTAACAAAAACATGAATCCTCAATGTCGGCATAAGTCAAAAGTTTGAGTCCAAATTACAGTCTGAAAAGCAGAATCTGGCCTAAGGAAGTCATTTGTTGGATAGCCACAGTTTTTGGCAATATTGTAGCATTGCAAATACCGCAACAGTATCTTTTTATCGGCACTCACCTCACAGTCACGACGCTGTCTCGTCAGGCGTCCTCCTGTAGAAGAGCAGGTAAGGTGTAGATGAGGAGCAGGTGTCAGGGGAGCAGGCTCTCAGGAAGTCCTCCTCCTCGAACAGACGCACCTCGGAGTCATCGAACAGCATCCATTTGCCTTCGTACTGCAAGAGGCCGTTTAGAGCCTGCTCCTCTGTGGCCTCCACTGCCCCACAGGACACCTGTGAAGCCTCCTCTGCTTCTTTGGGCTCCTTTTTAAGTCCAGCTTCACAGTTCTGGCTCACACTGCCAGTGGTCTTCCTCCGTTTAGTTCCCTCAGTCGCTGTAGCGTTGAATGGTTTCCCTGCGTGTTTGCTGCTGCTGCTGCTAATCTCACAGCTGGAAAAACTCCTCTGACCTCCCAACAGTCCAACTCCTTCAGAAACCTTCTTGCCTCCTCTTTTGCCGCCTGCCAAATTGGCACCTTTCTGCCTCCTGGAATTCAGGCTAAATGAAACTTCTCCATCGTCATAGTCCAACACTTCCTCCTTCACCTGTGCTTCCTCTTTCTTCTCCGTCTCTTCTTCCTCCTCCGTCTCCTCTTTGCCCTGCAGGCAGAGCCTCACATCCTTCAGATCGCTCATGCGGATGTAGGCAGTGTAGTGGCCGCTGCTGATGGTGACGCCGCTGTGCATGACCACAGCAAACAGCTGGTACTGCTGACCTTTGGCAGAGGAGGGACGGGTGCACCACTCGTCCAGAGACAGGGTCAGAGGAGTCTGGAGTGGAGTGTTGACTTTAGAGAGGCCGGCGTACGGGTCCAGACTGAGGAGACGAACCATGGAGACTTAAATAGTTAATGTCATTAGTACCAACAGTCTCTGTTTGGGTTTAATGAGTCTGTATGACATTCTTTAATTTGAGAACTTTTCACTGACAGAAGAACTACAGGCTTTTCGGGATCTTCCCTTTTGACACATAAATATATGCCCAAATATATAAATATACATACATATGTTGAAATGTATAATATTTCATCTGTACTGACAAAACAAGGAGACAGCACAGGTTTTGTGAGAACAGACTCAAAGGTGAATAATATCTGTACATGAACTCACTCTAGTCTGTTGGCGGAGAAGCGCTTCAGATGGATGGTGATCACTTCAGGAGTCTTGTCAAACAGGAGACTTCTTTCAGCCTCTGTGTAGTGTTGACACGTCTCACAGAAGTATTTGTCCTCTCCAAAGATCCGCTCCACTGAGGCAAACTGGCCAATCGCCCATTTCAGCGTCTTCAGCTCTGGTTTTGGGTCTGGAGAGACTGAAAACAAAAAAAAAAAGTTGTCTTTTGACAAACACCTTGATTTGAAAAGTTCACATTATTAAAATATGCAAGGAACCAAAAAAATGCTTTTGTTTTTTCCCCTCACCTTCTGAGAGATCATCTGGACTACTGGGTTGGTCCTCTAAAACTGGGACGCTGATGTCCTGGAAGTCTTCCCTCCTCTCTGTGAAGCTCTCACACTCCAAACAACGTGTTCTAAGAACCAGTCGACCCTGGAACAGGTGCTGCATCAGGTCCAGGTCCTCTGCATGGAGATGGACAGACAGATGTCTTAATGATTGCATCTGCATTTTTAAACATTAAACTTAAGAACAAAAGACAGACAGATGTCTTAATGATTTTTAAACATTAAACTTAAGAACAAATACTTTCAAGCAGTATCAAGTCAAATACTTCATTCAAAGTATTCAAAACATGTCAAAATACTGATAATGACAATGGCTGCCATTGTGATTGCCAGCTGCTTGTCAGTCAATTAGTTCAGCAATGTCAACAGATAATTCAATATTTGGGACAAAGACAGAAGCTAAGCTAACTCTAAGATGTGTTCTGCTACAATATGATCATTTTAATAAACCAACTGAAGACTAAACGATGTCGTTTCTCAGTTCAAAGTCAGTGGACAGATGAGGAGTTGACACCTCATCAAGTGGCTGTTTGATTTAACTAACATTTTAAAGGTTGTCTTAGCATCTGTACAAATCATGCACAGGAAACAAGTATTTTCTATCATTAAATGACACATACCCAGATGTTGAGCACTCTTCTTGTCCATGTCTGAGTTGGTAATTGATTTCTCGTCACAGCTCTTCTTCTCATCACTCGGTGAACTATCCTCCTCAGGTTTGTTTTCGTTTTTGAAAGTCATGCTGCTGATCTTTCCAACGCGGCGGAACTTGGAGAAAATACTGGGCTGTTTCCCAGATGGCCTCAACCAGGCGAGTCTGGATGGTTTCTTCCTTTTACCGTCCACCATTCCGGCATTTCCATCACCATTACTCCTTGTCGCTCCCTCTGTCTCTCCATTAACCTTCTGCATCTCCTCTGCCACCTTGTCTCCATCTTTATCCTCAGGACTGTTCATCAGGCCTATGCCGGACAACTTCCTTCTGGAGCGTGTGAGAGGTCTCTCAACTTCCTCTTCATCCGATTTCTTGGACTTGACAGACTTTGGCTTTTTTTTAGGGTTTCCCATCTCAGAATCACTCTTCCTCTTTCCGCTAACTTGACCGTCAGCTTCCGTGGGAGCTCTGGATTCTGCTGCCGAATCACCAGATTCTTCATGGATATTGTCCTTCCCCTCAAGCTGCTGCTCTTTTCTGATGGTGTCACAGGCATCCTGGATATATCCCAAGATGCACTGCAGCACCTCCTGGGCATCATGTTGAAGATAGCCCTCATACATTGGGTTCAGTCGTCTGGACAAGACAAAAAAAAATAGTTAAGGCAGTCCCTATATTCACTTCAGGATATTTTAAACCAAAATGATAAGGCAATAAAAAAATGTTTATTTTACCTTAGACTGTGCAATATTTTTCGAGGGGGTGTGGACAGCTCGCTGTCATTGAAGCTGTCAGATTGGAGCAGGAAGTTGGACTGAAGCTGCTCCGCTGATGTTATCAGGCTGTGGAAGTTTTCAAGCAGCGCCATGTGAGCTGGCAGTGACTCGGCCTCTCCATCTGACTGCTGGGGAAAAAAGTTAAACAGAAATAAACTTTAAAGAAAATAAAGTTTGGCTTTTGAATTTATTCTTATTGGAATTATTCAAATGTTGTTTGTGTTCGGACAAACCTCCTTGTCTTTGTCCGTTTCGTTCTTTGTGCCATCTTTCTTTTTTGACAGCTGGTACAGTTTCTTGATCCCTCCTCTGAGTCTTGGACAATAGTAAAGGACCTGCAGATAAATCATAGAACCCATAGGTCAATGTGTGTGTGTGAGAGAGAGCGAGAGAGAGAGAAAGTTTAATTTTGTCAGTTTGCCTCACCTGTAAGATACTGTTCAAATAGCAGGTGTTGCCCAGATTGTTGAATCCCACAAAAGGCATCAAGGTCTCCTTTTTCTCACATGACAGGAGGAGACCAGGGGAGGATGGACCAGGGACCACCTGATCGCAGGTGCTGAACAACAGAAAACACACACATCTAAATCAGACCACTTCTGATCTGATCTTGATCCCATTGTTTAGCTGTAAAATTATTAGCTTATCTTAAAGTCGGTCACGAAGACAATTTAGAAACAACAAGGAAGCTTTAAGATAATTCTGAACACAACACCCCACCTTGTCTCAGGTTCCACTGGTTCGACTTCTTTCGACTCCTCAGTTTGGGGTTCAGAGAAATCCAGCGCCCTCTTGGTTTCTTTCTTCTGGAAGAACTTGAGAGAGAGTTTGCTCCTCTTGATGGGGCTGCCCAACGCCGCCACAACATTATCACCCTGCAGACCTGGCATTTTGGTCTTACTGTGATGCAGCAGTGCCCCTCACTGGCGAAAAAAAGGAAATATAATTTTATTTAAAAGGGCGCCACCGGAGTTCTAAAAAACAAAAGTAACTACGTGCACAAGTTATAGCAGCGCTGCTAAGTTGTTAAAAGTAAAAGAGTACGCGCTGTGATACTTTCCGCCGTTTTAATGTTCATAGACATGTTCCCCAACGACTGATAACCGCATTACATAACGCTAGCGCAACTGGCTAACATAGACCATGTACTTTTCAAGGAAACTTTTTACACATAACCAGCCATGTTTGAAACAACTTTGACATTAGAAAGATATTAATTTGCGGAATATTTTTTATATTAAACAAATGTCACGAAAAGTCAAACACAGAACGCAGAAATGAAACTAGGTCATATCAGCGCGATAAGGGAAACAAGCACCACGCCGTTCCTTTCGGTTCACTTCAACTTACGCCAAACTTATCGCCCTGTACTATACAAGTCTAAAATTGAAATATTGACTTACTCGAATGATTCATCCAAATTATAGCTTTAATTTAAAGCGAGGGGTATCCAGTCTACAGCCATTTACTCTATAGTTGACAAAGGTGCAGCAGAAGTTGGCGCTTTTTCCTGCTAGAAGACACACTGACTGCTGCGCTGCCAATCCAAAATCATTACGAAGTAAATCAAAGAACAAAAACTTTTAACAGCGGATAATCATGTTAATGTTAAAATGTTAAAAAATTACCTTTAAATGAAAACAAGTATATGTTAGAGAATATTTTCACCATGTAATAAAACCAGTTTTCCCATTTGTTTATTTCAGGCTTTGACAGGGGCACCTATTTAAATTCCGGTACCTTCAACGCAGTATCAGCAACCATGTTTGTAGTCATTTATCATGGAAGTGGTGTTCTTCCAAATTAAAAGTAGACTTGGAACAGTGCACTGAATGTTTTACATACTTTCAATACCCAATTTAATTAAATTAAAAAAGTTCGCATTTTAGCTGAAAACAAAACGTTTATGAGAACTGCTACTTTAATGTAAAATACAAATATAATTGTAAAATGGAATTTGGTTTTTTTTAACGTCCACTTATGTATGCTTGGCTATGATCAGTTCAGACAAAAAACAAAAATAATGTGTCAGTTCGGTTAGTAGTTATCTCTTATGGCATTATTGATATCAATAATATTACATCATCATTTCCATCAACCTTGTCCTTTCTCTGCCTCTAGGTAAACTAGGTCTGCTTATTTTTATCCTTTGATTAACTGTAAAGTATTTTGAAGTTGCAAGACTTTCTTTCTTTCCTTCCTTCTTTCTTTCTTTTTTCTTTCTTTCTTCCTTGATTTCTTTCTTTCTTTCTTTCTTACTGTCTTTCTTTCGCAGGAAAGTTACTTTATAACCCAACAAGTATGTACATTAACGTTTTAAAAACAGACGCCGACGTAAAACGTCCACCCTAAGCATCTTTAAAGGTCATTTTGTCCAACAGGGGGCGACATTATCTGTAGGAATGGTTGTTAAAACGTCCAGCAGCAGCAGGATCAGTATCAGCAGCATCCTACCCTCAATGGAGCATCACCTCCTCCTCCGCCTCATCCTTCCAGGACTTTGACGGTAGGATACTATTTATCACAACCCCACATTGGCTCAGTTCGATGGCGGTCTGTTTATTCAGTTTTTGTGGGGTCTGTTTATATTTAATCTTTAAGGACTATGTTGGTATGATAACGGATACGCTTGGTGCCGACACTGTTGGTCGTCAGTGTTATGATACGGAGGGGACCTCTGCACATGAATGCAGCACAAAAATGAGAGACGACAGCAGTGTTGTTTACTCCATGTGCTGGTTCCACTGAAAAGCACGCTATTCTGTATGTCTTGCGTTCCGATGCTGCTGCTGCTGCCGCTGCCACCGCTGAGTGAGTGTGGCTGCTTGGTCAGCAGTGAACATCTACAACCGCTGGGTTTGTGAGCCGCACAGCTCCAGTCTCAACTACCCACACTGGTTGTATTTTCTGGTTTAGTGATCTTAAAGGATGCTTGCTGTTAGAATCGCACATATTAGGTTCGCGACCCCCTATTGCCCTGAATGGAAGGTGTGGATGGAGATGCAGGTTGTCATCACTATCGGACAGTATAACCTCTTCAGTATTTGAGACTGTGCTGGCTGTAGTAAATTTACAAATTTACCATACACAGTTTGTCTTGTGGGACTTGACAGTCACTACATTAAATGATGTCCCCAGTTTTAACAGCTGTGATAAAACCAACTAAATCTCCTTTTCCGAAGACGACTAACTTGTTTTTTTTTTTAAATTTGAACAAACTGGCCCTCCTTCAGATGCAGGCATGTCAGAGACGCCACCTACCAACAGATCCATCAGGAATGTAACCTCTAACCTGTGGTAGTAATGAGGATCATTCTCCATGCACTGACTGCTATAACATCAGTCTTTATCAAAGAAGGCTTTGTCCCAGGAGGCTTGAAGCTGTCACGGCCAGAGCAGCAGAGGTGGGTGGTGTGGCAGCTCAAAACCGTGGCCTGTGACATGGGGAAAAAAAATTAGAAAAAAAAAACTTCAATCCGTCTTCTCTCCCAGGAACACCACAGGAAAAATGAAGGCATGTTGAGAGATAAGTAAGCAGAGTACACTCCAAGAATGAGAAGCATGTTCTGAAGTTGACTAAGCTTTACCTCCCAACAACAAAACCCTGCTCTGTGCACACACACACGCACGGCTACATCTGCACAGAGCTGAGGTCTAATATTTTTAACCACCTGTTCACATTTATTACTACAGTCACGCTCCGTAACAAGAAGACCTGTTCACATGCAAACAAACCCTACTACTGTATGTGTGATTATCTCATTGTTATCTCAAAAGTTTCATGACAAGTTGAAGTTTCTTCAATTGCTTAATTAATTAATTAATTTTAATAGAGCTATTTTCTGTACGTCTTTCATTCCAGGTCACAATCTGCTCACAGACTAAAGATTGAAATACAATTCTTTTCAATGTTTTGGAAAACTAAAATTAGATATTCATTCATTGAATCATTTTCGGGTTAAAACTAAATTTAAAACCTGTGATTACAGATTTTGGATGAAAGGATTGTTGTTGAAACTGAAACAAAAATTAAATAAATAAAACAACATAAATGCTCAAAGTAAAATAAATGATGAGTCTCATTGGCTTTACAGTACTTTACACACCTGATACACCATGTATTTCACACATTGTCAACTCCAGTGTCGTAGTGATGTTTTCCTTTAGGTCTGTGAGTCTTGGTTCCCGTCTGTTGATACTAAAATGAAAAGTGAACACATTATATGATTCTTTAATGACATCTTTGTGCTGTTCTGTGCTGAGGGCGGGCTCAACGTGACCGTATAAGTTGACAGAACACAGAACCTTCCAGACTGTTTATGGAATATCTGCTGGTTGTCTGGCATTTTCTCTGAACCTAGGATGGCGTGTTAATCTTACACATATTTGACTGTACAGATATGTGAGTCTGGTCTAGAACTAGTGACTCAGGGAACAGTTTCTTCAGGCTCTTTTTTTATTTTTTTAAGTCTTGGTGGTGTTTTATAGAAATATATGAAGAAAATCTAATAGTAGAATTGTGATCAGTCTTTGTTTTAGCCCAGCTTGGGACCCTATAATAGCATCAGATCAAATAAGTATCTATTTTCCAGTTGTAAAACTTCACATTAATGTGTACCTTACTACTTACGTTAGTAGATCAACTTAGTACATTAAATTATATATTTTTTATTTCTTCCATAGACTGATTTAATTCTACCAGATGTTCTTGGGGACTGTTATAAAAGGCACTTTATTCTGACAGTTATCTTGAACAAATATTACACGACAGAGTAAACCTTCAAGGACGAAGAAAAACACATGAACACAGTTGCCTTTTTAAAGAACTACAGTTATTACACAATTGCTGGCCATTTTTGGTGCTTCTGCTGGAGTATCTACTGAAGAATTGTATTGATAATGATAAGCAGTCATGTTTCTCAGATGCATTCATCGTCGTCTTCTTCTCATCTCATCTTATTCCCTGCCTCCTCTATTGTTACACCAACAGTCTCCGTGTCCTCCTTCCCTACGTCCATAAATCAGACACAGCCTAAATAGTATTTCAGAAACAACAGTGGGAACCTGTAAATTGTGGGTTCTGTAGAACTCTTGGGCTGCCCTACAGATGCTAACTAGAGGCAGCTAACAACTTCTTAGCTCCTCATCAGGGTCTGTGAAATCAGCATGCTGAAGTTAGCGAAGAGCAACAGCAGATACGAAAATGATTCATTTTCAGTAAGCAGCACTTCGGTTGAATCTTCTGTCTACTTTAAAGCAAATTAATATTTTGCTTACAGTGCCCCCTGCCGGAGCACAATGTATATATTTTAGCAGTGTGAAGCAGTTTTATTCCTTCAATTAGAACCTTGGTTTGTACTCCCAATGTGACACCCAAATGTAGTACCTGCAGTCACGAAGAAGTAGTGGAACCTGAGGGGAGGTCAAAATAAAATGTGAAAATATTTTAGTGCATTGTCAACATGCTATCTGAACACCCAGTATGTGTTGAGAGGCTTCAACTTAAGGTCAGACCCCCGGCTTGTGGCAGACCAGCTCCACTGAGTGCAGGTCAGAAAGAGATTGACAGGCTGACTGACACCACTGTCAAACTGATGGTGAGGGACTGGAGACTGATTAATGTTGTTGAGGACAACGGCTTCAGACGTTGGTGTTCTAGCAGCTGTTTCACAGTAATGACTGAAATCCACACACTCTATGAAGCTACATTTTAAGTAAAGTTTTTGCATCTGTTTCTTGACATTTGTCCATATTAATAATTAGAACATTTGGATGAATCACAAATAAAAACAGGTGTAAAACTCCTACTTCTACCTGCTGTTATTTGTTTTTCTGTTCCAGCAACATACAAATAATATTGATGACAATCTGTGATTAATCAGATTAAAACAGTGATGGTCATAGTAGTAGTAGTAATAGCTGTAGTACCTGTCAGTAGAAACCATTTAATTAGAATCATTTTGTATATGTGCAGTGAGATCTGATCTCACCCTCCACATATTTCTCTCCCCCCTCCTCTCTCTCCCTCTCCTCCCATGTTGAGGAGGAGGTGGGTGGGTCTCCAGTCCAGTCGCTCTGATGTTGAGAAGCTGCAGCTCTGCCATCCTACTCAGTCTGCTCTCTCTCTCCTCCGCCTGCTCTCCTGTTTCAGCCAGTCTGTCTGTCTGTCTGTCTGTCTGCCCTCGAGCGTAGTACTCTCCTTTCACTTACTACTATTCATCGCCATCCAGGACCGATTCACAGAAACCCACGCAGGTACACAGAGGACCGGTATTCTAAGCACTGTCTCTTGTCTGCAGTAGCGCTTGTTAAAGCTGAAGTTTTTTTTTTTTTTCGTTTCCACTTTTTTTCATGGTCCAAAAGGATACCACACAGAGCTGCATACGTGAGTACTCATAATTTACTTTCCCCCGTATCCTCTCTTTTACTCCCATTCTTCCTTACTCTTCTACATTTTTACTTCTCCTGACTGTCCTCTCTTGGCACATGTCTGTAGAATTTCAGCATTTTTGGCATGTCCTCTCACAGACATCTTAACTTTCTTATCAACGTAGTAAGGCC